CAAAAGTTTTAGCCATTTTTAAAGGATTTTCTTAAATCACTTAATACGCATATTACAATAAGTACTTACATACTTAGAAACATACCTACTATTTTATCATTCTATTATAGTCTAAATAAACAAAAAATAAGAAACAGAAATTAAAGAAAGTTGATCAAAAAACTTCCGTTTATTTATAGCAATATAGAAAAGACTATAGTAGTTAAATTTGTTTTGCACTCGTTTTGCGAGTGACGTCGACGGCTGTGTTAATTTATACAATTATTTATCTATCTACTACTTACTATTATACAAAAATAATCATACCTACATCATATTAAACAAAAAAGAAAGAATATAAAAATATCTACTATTATTATTACTATTAGCATGTAGCGTTTCATTTATTCTCATAATTGGCATGGTAAACAAAATCAAGGATTGTTTAAATTTCATAGAGTACAATTTTAATTTTATGTTTTTTTAACTCAAAATCAATTGATTTGATTGGAGGTGTGGAAATTGTTATTGTTAAACAAAAAGAAAATAATTATTTTGTTGAATTATTACTACTATGTACTACTTTTTAATATGTAATATGTATTTTAAATTTAACAAAAACGCCCCTCTAATGCTTCAATGTCTTTTTCGCATGTCTTCTCTCTCCACTTTTGAACTGATTTGGACATTAAAACACCTTATAGAAGCTCTTGTTGCAATGGGCTATAATAGGCAGGAAATCGAAGCTTCATTATCACAAGTTCGTTATGATGATGTGTTTGCAACGTATTTATTGCTGGGAAGAAAAAGTACTGATGTAAGTAGCAAATACTCTCTTCTCTCTGTGTAAATCAATTGAAGATGATGAAGATTATAATTTAATAATGATTGTTGATGATGATGTTGATGATGATTTAATTATAGCCTGAAAGTGATGGTTCTCGATCTGGCTCTTCACTTTCTTTGCGCAATATATCTGGTAATGATGGGACAGCTATATCTGCAAATGCTTCTGTGCAAAGCCCAACACACCGTGGTGTCCATAGAAGCATTTCTGCTTCTAGTACAAAACCAAGTAGAAGGGCATCTTCAGGGGCTGATACACTACGTACGTTATATATTTATTTTATGTATTTATTATTATTATAATTTATGTATTTTGCAATTTGTTGTTGGTGTTTTTATTCTGTCTCTTTATGTAATGAGAAATTTTTGTATTCAATTTTGTTTTTTGTTCTATTTTGTTAAAGGTGTTGCTCCTGGTAATACAGCTGGTCAAGTTGCTACCACAGGAACAGCTGGTACCGTTCCGTCCAGCACTAATTATGCAATTGCTGGTACTGGATCATCTGCAGAAAGATCTTCAATGTAAGTTCAAAACTTTTATTTTATTTTTATTTTGAAAATAATTTAAAATAAAATAATTTGGAAATAAATTTAATGCAGTTTCGGAAAATAAGATTTTTTTGTGAAATTTTCGAAAATTCGAAATCTCTCAATCTTGAGTATTCATTAATCTATAATTTTAATTCTATATTAAATTTTTGAATTTGAAAAATTTCCTAAATTTTTAAGTATTTTCAATGTAGATTTAGAATATAAGCTTTTTATGTTAATTTCGAAAATTCTAACTTATGTTCGAAACCATTTAAAAGCTGATAAATTAATCAGCCAACCATAAGAATTCATAAAAACATAATTTTAATAAAGTTCGAAAATTCGAACATATCTTCGAAAATATTTTAAAGCTGTAAAAATTAACTCTCAAACATGAGGATTCATAAAAACATAATTTTAGTGTAATTTAGGAACTAATTTCTTAAAATTTTCAACTTTGAACTTAAAAATTCTCTTGAAAATAAATTTTAAATTTTTTTATCAACTTTACAGAAGTAGCAACTTTAAGCGCCAAAACACCATAGATTCAGCTACAATCAAAGAAAATACAGCACGTCTTTCGGCTCAAAATCAGAGGCCGGCATCTGCCACACATAAATTATTAGCAACAGCAGATACTTGTAAGTTTTATAGTTTAATTTATACTTATAAATATATGTAAATAATTATTTATTTTTCAAATAACTCACAGCTATTAGTAGTCCCAAACCCCGTTCTACGCCCAAATACGATCCACCAAACAGTAATCGTCCTTCGGCTACTGTTAGCATGATGCCACGACGCTCAACAACACTATACGAGAAGACTTCTTCAACCGAGAAAACAAATGCAATTTCAACAGATTCAAAGTATGTATACGTGTCTAAATGTTTTTTCGCTTCATTTCCAACTCCTATAACTTTCCCCATCCTCAACATTCTTCTTCTTATTATTCTTCTTTGTCATTTTAAGTATCAAAGTACATACTTAAAACAAAAGAAAAATTCGCTATCAATCACACATTTCATTCATCAAATTCACTACACTTTTCATCTAAATGTTTAAAAAAACATTTACAAAAACAAAAAATTAAGCAACAAAATAACAAATTTCGTAAATCTATTCATTTATGTAACAAACTCTTTCATTTTTCGTACTCACTCGTACTAATTTTAAATAAAAAACCTATTTGTAAATTGGTGGATTAAAGCATTAAAACAACTTGATCAACATCAACTCCATAAAGTTACTTGTTGCTCTTGAGTCAGTTTTAATAAACATGCATACACGTATAATTATTATGGCTTTTTATTAGCAATAAATCAATTGAAAAAAATCAATTCAAATAAAAAAAAAAAAAAAAAACAAATTATTATTTTTAGGCCTTTTGCTCTTTTTAATCTCACATTAAAAACCATCAACTTTGACAGCACTAATTATTTTGATATTTCATTTTTATCTTGTTATTTTTTTTATTTTTATCATTAAATCAATTGTAAAACTTCTTTTGCAAACAAAAAATTACATATACTTCTAAATCTTCAAAATGGTTCTACAATTCAAAAAATGCCCTCAAAAATAATACACATCTCGGTGAGTATACAAAAAATAATCTAAGAAAATTCAATACTAGTTAATCATAAAAACAAAACTGATAAACAAAAGAGTTAACTACAACTAAAACTAAATTAATTACCAATTGCTTATATGAAATTAAAACAAAACAAAAAGGGCTATAGTTTTTTTAATTTTCTTTATTTTTGTTGTAAAAAATGGAGTTAATAGGAGTTAATATAGGTTTTATACATAGTGAAGGGTGTTCAGTAGCAAATTTTCTTTTAACTTTTAACAGATACGTTAGACAATTAAGAAGAAAGTAGGAAAGATGTCAGAGGATAATTTTTGGGTTGGTGATGATCAAGTATCACTCACTAACTTTGTGAAACTTTAAATTTAACTTGTTTCATGTGTTTTCTTTTTTCGTTTGTTTTTTTTTATTTATTTTGTAAATATTTTTATTATTTTCACCTTTTTCACAAGATTTAGTTTTGTGTGTGTTTTTTTTTTATTGTTTATTTTTTTATTATTTTTTGTAAATTGTCGTCTGTTCAACTGCCACACATATGTATGTACATATTTCGTAGTAGTCGTAGTCTATTTTTTTTAAAGAAAATGTGTCGTACATATTTACATTTTAATTTTAATCTCTATAAATATATATAAACGTATAACATGTTCCTAATTTATTGATTTTGATTTCATTTTTGTTTCTTTTTTTCTTTCTATTTAATAATTTTCTTTTTGCATGATGACACCAACCACAAAAAAAAAATATAAATAAATCGCGTTCACCAAACAACAACAAATTCATCATCAAAAAATAATAATATTAAACTAAATGAATAATAATCAATTGCTTTGGTCGCTGCTCGCATGATTTATTCTAAAAATATTGAAATGAATTCTATTTATTGTATTTTTTTCACCTGATTGTTTTTGGAATATGATTGTGTATATTAAACAAACAAAAAAACCAAAAAATCTAAATAAAAAATAACCCGCAAAATGCCACTACTATAAAATGCCTTAATAAACCAAACAAAAATTATGAATGAATGAATATGAACCCATAGCGTGTTCAACGATCTTAGAGTGACATCGGCTGTTAAATCTGGCAGACATTTTCCCAGGAATGTTCCATCACGTTCAACCTTTCATTCGGGTGAGTTTTGCTTTAAAAAACAAATCGTTACAATTCATAATTTGATTGTTCAAAAAAAAAGTTTTGAGTTTTTTTTTTTTAAATTACAATTAAGATAATTTTAATTTGAAGATTTTAAAACAGGTTATAATTAACAATAATAATAATAATGACGTATTAGAATAATGAAATAATATTATTTTATCTAACGTTGTATATGACATAAATTTTTGAATTGATTTGATAACAGGCGTGTTAAAAATGTAACTTAAAAATAAACCAAAAACTAAAAAAAAGCTAAAGAATCTAATTTACATATGTATGTAAGAAGTTCTCTTGTTGTTCTGTTGTATACCGTACCGTAACGTTCTGTTCTGTACTTTATGGGAAGAATGCACTTTTTTTTGCTAGATTGTATTGTGTATTCATCAACTACATGTATATTTCTGTATCCACTACTACCACTAACTATTCTTACTACTTACTACCCTACTACAACTGTATCTACCTATCTATACTATAAAAAAAATATCTTTGTATTCCTTTTCTTCATACCTACATATTATTTTCATATTTATTTAACTCGATATATTTATTATTAAACTACAAAATACACAAAAATCTTTTTTGCTCTAACCTGTTTCTTTCTTTCTGGTTGGTTATGCGATGATAATTGATATAAATATAATAATAAATAAATTGCTGCAAACGAACAATCAAATTAAATTAAGCTATCGCAAACAATTTCTCCTCTCTCTCTCTCTACCTCATATCATTTCAAATCATTTTCTTTCTTTATATTCATATACTACATACTATGTCGTACATTTACATATTTTGTTTGTTTATTATAGTTTGTTTGTGGAGATCATACATATATTATAAGTAATAATATTAATTTTATTGATTTTTTCTCGTTAAATTTAAGTTATTAACTTGTTTTAATATAAACATATTATGTATTTTTAATAATTTAATATTTCGTTTTAGTTTTTTTTTTAGTTTTGCTTGTTCATCATGTTTATTTTTTAATTTGTTTAACCTCTTTCTAACAGGGGGTTGGTTGAATAGCAATGACTAATTAAGAAATTATCACTGCTAGTAAATAAGGCGTAGAATAGTTTTCTTTTCAAATGCCAAAGTAAACATTCTTTCTTATTTTGTACAATAAATAACATTTATTTTTTGACACATAAAAAATTTTCTTGGAGGGTGTTCAATATCGTTGCTTATTATCTAATGAAATCGATTAATAAATGCTTGTGCGAGTTCAATTAAATATTGCAAACTGCAGCAAACAAATTAAGGTTTTTACAATATCAACTATAAATCAACTAAATTTCAGTCATATTTATAACATATTTATATGCAACGGAAACTACTACATGATTTGTTTATCAAATGTTTGTTTTTAAAGGGCTTATCTTATTTATTTTGTTAAAAAGATAATTGTGTGTAGAATATAACTTTTATTTCACATGTCTGAAGAAAAGATTAGTGGTATTCATTCTTTACGACCAAAAACTACGCTTCACGCTTCCTAGCCTAAAAACTCGTTGGCATATTTGCTACTCTTGGAAATATGCCACTTTTGCTTAAATCAATTAGCTCCAATATAATAAACTCAGCTATCTGCTTCAGCTGTAAAAGTTTTTGAAGTTTGGTTTTTGACTTTTTGTAAAATCTGCAATTTTATATTTGTAGGAGTGAAGTTGCGAGAAGTTTGCAATAATAACGAGTAGCTGCAGTTGAAGTTTAGAACAGAGAGCAACATTAGTTTAAAAGAAGACGCCGCGAGCTTAAGACGTACGACGGAGCCCGTATTCATTTTTTTATTACAATAATTTTATTTGAACTCAATTTTTCCATAAACTAAACTATTTAATATTATAACTGTATTTTATAACATACATATGTATATTTGAAATAAAAATTTATAAAATACCATAAATTTGGGGACTCAACACGGATTGTTTGTCGTGAGTGTTTAAATCCGGGAAAAATAAGCAAACGAACGAACAGAAAATTTACGAACCAAACGCGTACGCGTCGAGGAAAGTTAGGAAAAAAGAAAAAAGGAGAACATTTGTAACGGTCGAACTGAACGAGATGAATATGTACGCATTGGGCGATTTTGTTACCATAAGGAAAAACTTGTCAACGGCTAAACGTGCTGTTGTTGTAGCCTTACACAAACTAGTATTTGAGAATGAGGGTGATCGTCAGAATAGAGAGAGGTTGAGAGAATTCGTTGGTTTTGACTTCACCGAAGAAGACGAAAAGTTTCTAGAGAAAACAAAATACGTTAAGCAGAATTTGAGTACCGCTGATTTGGTGTCGATTTGCAACATTTTGTCTTTGGACTACGACGTCGACGACTTGTTTTTGCACATATTTATCAACATGCGAAAAGGAAATTTATTAAATTCGAACGACGTAGATGAGAGAGACGATGGTGAAGATGAAATAAGTAATGAAGCTAATGTTGACGACGACGACGACGACGGCGAGCATACAATGGTAAACATGCGCAACGACGTGGACGATAATGCTGAAAGCGACGATGCTGTTGTTGTTGAAGATGAAAGGAAAATGTCAAAGCAGACGAAAAATTTTAATGACGGCGGCAGTGTTGGTGATAAAAATAACGAATTATTAGAAACAAAACCATGCATGAGAAAATACGTTAATGAGAACAAAAGTAACGAGAAGGAACAGAATAAGACGTATGCAGTGGAACAGTATAACATGTCATCTTTTAATACGCCAAGATTTTCGATTAATTTTCGTGATATTGAAGATTCAATAAGACCACTTGATGGAAGTGGCACTATTCCCATTGATGGTTGGATAAATGATTTTGAGGAAACTTCGGCTGTAATGTATTGGGATGAATTTCAGAAATATATTTTTGCTAAAAAATCCCTTAGGGGATTGGCTAAATTATTTATTGCCAGTGAAAGAGGCATAACAACGTGGATTAAGTTGAAGCAAGCATTAATTGATGAATATAAAACTACAGCCAACAGTGCCCAGCTACATAAAATGTTAACTGAACGGAAAATGAACAAGGATGAGACTATTCACGAATATTTTTTGAAGATGAAGGAAATGGCTTCGCGCGGAAACATAGAGGAAAGTGCTTTGATACAGTACGTTATTGATGGCATAAAAGATTTGACAATTAATAAGACCATATTATACGGTGCATGCAATTTGAAGGAGTTTAAGGAGAAACTTAAATGTTATGAGACGATGCAGGAAAGATCTTCTAAAAAAGTTGATACTAGAACAACTAACAACAATAAAACTTCTGCTAAAAATGAGAAGGCTATACTTTGCTACAACTGTGGTGAAAAGGGCCATACATCAAGAAATTGCAAGGATAAAGAGAAAGGTATAAAGTGCTTCAGCTGTAACAAATTTGGCCACATATCGAGAGAATGTCCAGTTAGAGTAGACAAGGCAAATGTCAGGCAATTGGCTGTTGAAAATATTATGATGGTGAATGTTAAACTATCGGATAGAATGTGGATGGCTTTATTTGATACTGGCAGCAAATTTAATGTTGTAACTGAGAAAGTGTACAATTCTTTGAATAAACCTGAACTTTTTAAATCAGATTTTTATCTGATTGGTTTTGGTAATACTACGAACGATAGGAAAATTAAACCAATTGGAAATTTTAAAACCAAGGTTGAAGTCTATGGTGAGGAGTATGTTTTGACTTTCCATGTAGTTCCATTTGCCTGTATTGATGTCGAAATTATATTAGGAAACGAATTTTGTTCATTTGCTGAAATTGGAATTTCACCTGATGGCCTGAAGATAAAGAAGATTAAGGACGAAATAGCTGAAGAGGTGCATAGTATCATGGTGATGGATGTCTGTGCTGATGATAATGTAAATACTCTTAATATTGGTGAGACCAGTAGTGAAAATGCTAAGCGCGAGGTAATCGAAATGATACATAACTATAAGCCAGGCAAATGCAAGACAACTAACATTGAAATGCGTATAATTCTGAAGGACGAGAAACCAATTTTTTGTAATCCCAGACGACTACCAATAAGGGAAAGATACATTGTTGACAGCCAGATTGAACAGTGGCTGGACGAGGGAATTATTGAACCTTCAGAATCGGAATTTTGCAGTCCAATAGTTTTGACCAAGAAAAAAGATTCTACTCCAAGACTGTGTATTGATTTTAGAAGAATTAATAAAGTTATCGTCAAGGACCGTTATCCTCTACCCCTTATTGAAGACCAACTTGATCGCTTGCAGAATGCATATATTTTTAGTACAATTGACCTACGAAACGGCTTCTTTCATGTTCCTGTAAACGAAGAAAGCCGAAAGTACACATCGTTTGTTACGCATAATGGTCAATATCAGTTTAAAAAGGTTCCATTTGGTCTATCGAACTCTCCGGGTGTGTTCCAGCGCCACGTCAATGCCATATTTCGCGATTTGACTCGTGAGGGGATAGCTTTACCATACATCGATGACATCATCATTCCTGCAAAAGACGAAGAAGAAGCACTACTCAATTTAAAACGTGTATTAGATATCAGCAAAGATTACGGCTTGGATATTAATATTAAAAAATGCAACTTTTTGATGAAGAAAATTCAATTTCTTGGTCATGTTATTGAAAATCAACATGTATCGCCATCAGTTGAAAAGACAATCGCAATGGTCAATTATCCAGCACCTATGAATGTTAAACAGTTGGAAAGATTTCTTGGCCTAGCCGGCTATTTTAGGAAATTTATTCCTAATTTCTCGATTATAGCCAAACCACTTACCGATCTTAAAAAGCAGAATGCTAAGTTTGTATTTGGACACGAACAGATGACATCGTTTAATACTTTAAAGAATGTGTTGAGTAATGGTCCAGTACTGAGTATATTTAATCAAAATTATGAGACTGAGGTGCATACTGACGCATCCATCGACGGATATGGCGCAGTACTGCTACAAAAATCTCCAGATGACAACCTTTTACATCCAGTATACTATATGAGCAAAAAGACAACCGAACAGGAAAGGAAATATACGAGTTACGAGTTGGAGGTGTTAGCGGTCATAGAGGCATTGAAGAAATTTAGAGTGTATCTGATTGGTTTGAAGTTCAGATTGGTGACTGACTGTAATGCTTTCACTAAAACGTTGGACAAAAAGGATTTGTGTACAAGGGTTGCTAGATGGATACTATTCTTACAAGAATACGATTATATCGTGGAACATCGGCCAGGCTCTCAAATGCGGCATGTAGACGCCTTAAGCCGACACCCAATCATGATCATTGCAGAAGATAGTTTGATTTCGAAGATTATACGTTTGCAAAATCAGGACGAGGATCTTAAAATCATCAGGGAGATACTAAAGAACAAGCCATCATATAATGAGTATTTTTTGAAAGGAGATGTCTTATATAAAATGTCGGATGATTACGAATTACTGGTGATTCCAAAAGGTATGTACGCCGAAATTATAAAAACAGCACATGAAAAAGGCCACTTTTCCATCAAGAAAACAAAAGAGCTGATATACAAGGAATATTTCATACCGAAATTGGAAGAAAAGATCCAAAAACTCATCTCTAATTGCATCCCGTGCATCATAAATAACAGAAAACGGGGAAGACAAGAAGGAGAATTACATCCACTAAGCAAAGAGGCAATACCGTTACACACATACCACATTGACTACCTTGGCCCACTCGAATCCACGAATAAGATGTACAATCACATTTTTGCTGTAATTGATTCTTTCACGAAATTTTGTTGGTTGTATCCAACAAAAACTACATCAGCGAAGGATGCAATTTCCCGACTGCAGTCACAGAATGTCATTTTTGGTAACCCACTTCATATCATTTCTGATCGTGGTTCGGCCTTTACTAGCGAAGACTTCAAAACTTATTGCGCAGAGGAAAAGATAAACCACATTCTTATTACAACTGGTCTTCCTCGTGCGAATGGACAAGTCGAAAGACTAAATAGTGTGATCATCTCTGTCTTGTCCAAACTAAGCATTGATGACCCCTCCAAGTGGTATAAATTCGTTGGAAGAGTGCAGCAAATCATTAATTCGACTTATCATAGGAGCGTTGACACCACACCGTTTGAGATGCTTATTGGAACCAAAATGAAAACTAAAGATGACATCCAACTCAAAGAACTAGTAGAGAAGGAACTAGTAGCCGACTACGATGAACAAAGAAACGAGATAAGACGAGCAGCTAAACAACAATTACTTGAGGTTCAAGCCGAAAACAAACGATATTATGATATCCGACGTAAGCCGCCCAGACAATATAATGTAAATGATTCTGTCGCTATTAAAAGGACTCAGCTAGGAGGAGGTCTTAAACTTAGGCCAAAATACCTGGGTCCATACCAAATTGTTAAGGTTAAGCAGAATGATACGTATGATGTAGTCAAATCCAGTGAATGTGAAGGCCCCAAACGTACTACAACATGCGCAGAATTTATGAAGCCATGGCCAGATGAAATTGAGGATGAGCCTGATGAGTAAGCCCGCAGGATGGCCGAGATGTAGGAGTGAAGTTGCGAGAAGTTTGCAATAATAACGAGTAGCTGCAGTTGAAGTTTAGAACAGAGAGCAACATTAGTTTAAAAGAAGACGCCGCGAGCTTAAGACGTACGACGGAGCCCGTATTCATTTTTTTATTACAATAATTTTATTTGAACTCAATTTTTCCATAAACTAAACTATTTAATATTATAACTGTATTTTATAACATACATATGTATATTTGAAATAAAAATTTATAAAATACCATATATTATAATAAGATTTCTCTTGATTTTATTTCAATTAATCGAGGTTGTCATAGAATCCAATCATATTTTTATTAGAAGCCAAATTTTTTACATTTTACAATTTCGAACTTCAAAATTTGGAAAAATTTTGGAACATTTTCATGAATTTGGAACTATTTTTAATGTAGTTTCAGAATATTAACGCTGTTAAAATAGTCTCAAAGTCATGAGGATTCGTTAAAATATGATTTAAGTTTTAATTAAGAGCCAATTTCTTATATTTTACAATTTCAAACTTAAAAATTTTGAAAATAATTTTTAAATTTTCATAAATTTTAAAGTATTTTCAATGTAGTATCAGAATATAGGCTTTTTATGAAATGTTCGAAAATTCGAACTTATGTTTGAATGGTCTCTGAGTTATAAGGATTCATAAAAATATGATATTAGGATAACAAATTTCAAAATACGAACTTCAAAATTTTAAAAATTACTATAAATGTTTCATGACTTTTAAAGTAATTTCATGAAAATTCATAAAAATATAATATCATTTCTTTTATTTTCCAATTCCGAACTTAAAAATTTTGAAATAAATTTAAAAAAGTTCATAATATTAGGTAGTTTTATCGAAGTTATGCTATAGACTAGACTATAGACTAGATTATAGACTAGACTATAGACTAGACTATAGACTAGACTATAGATTAGGCTATAGACTATAGACTAGACTATAGGCTAGACTATAGACTAGACTATAGTCTAGACTATAGATTAGACCATAGATTAGAATATAGACTAGACTATAGACTATAGACTAGACTATAGACTAGACTATAGACTAGACTATAGACTAGACTATAGACTAGACTATAGACTAGACTATAGACTAGACTATAGACTAGACTATAGACTAGACTATAGACTAGACTATAGACTAGACTATAGACTAGACTATAGACTAGACTATAGACTAGACTATAGACTAGACTATAGACTAGACTATAGACTAGACTATAGACTAGACTATAGACTAGACTATAGACTAGACTATAGACTAGACTATAGACTAGACTATAGACTAGACTATAGACTAGACTATAGACTAGACTATAGACTAGACTATAGACTAGACTATAGACTAGACTATAGACTAGACTATAGACTAGACTATAGACTAGACTATAGACTAGACTATAGACTAGACTATAGACTAGACTATAGACTAGACTATAGACTAGACTATAGACATAGACTATAGACATAGACAACTATAGACCTAGACTATAGACTAGACATATAGACGAGAGACTACTAAGACTAGACTATAGACTAGACTATAGACTAGACTATAGACTAGACTATAGACTGAACATATTAGAATTAGCTAACGATAGACTAGAATATAGACTAGACTATAGACCTAGACCTATAGACTTAGAATATAGTCTAGACTATAGACTTAGAATATAGACTTAGACTATAGACTAGACTATAGACTAGACTATAAGTACTAGACTAATAGAACTTAGACCTATAGACCTAGACTATAGACTAGACTATACCTAGACTATAGACTGACATAGACTAGACTATAGACGAGACTATAGAACTTAGACTAGAGACTAGACTTATAGACTAGACTATAGACTAGACTATAGACTATACTATAGACTAGACTATAGACTAGACTACTAGACTAGACTAGACTATAGACTAGACTATAGACTAGACTATAGACTAGACTATAGACTGGACTAAAGACTATACTATAGACTGGACTATAGACTAAAATTTAAAATTTGATCATAATTCTACTTAGACTCCACGCAAATGATCTCTGAATAGGATTGTTAAATGCACCATATATGATACAATTTAAAAATAATTTGTCTTAAACGTTTAGGAATCAAACTATAAACTATTGTACAAAACGAGCCACATTTGGTCTAGTCCCCAAGATACCTTACAATTAACTAGACCTTGGGAACAATTAAGTAATTAGCTCTAATAATAAAAATGTGATCCAAATAGTTGTATTATTACTTAAATATACTTTAATGGAATTATTCTGAATTGTTAAGATTTGTAAATACAATACACAATTAAATGATGCATTTTTTAGAATTTCTTTGTAATACATTTTAGCGTTTGAACCTAGTCTGTGCTATATATAGTATATGTAAGCTTAATTATTAATGTTATCAGTCGATATAGTAAAATGTATTCTGTACTTTATATATATTGTCCTTCGAACATAAGATAAGTTAAACAACAACAAAATTACACAAGTGTTTTGTCATAGGCTGTTATATTATTAGTAGATAAGGTTTCTCGTTTTATGATATTGTATAAGTTGCTTTTTTGTGCAAATCAAATTGATTTTATCATCATATTAATTATTTTATATATTTATTGATTTTGTTTTCGTTTTTGTTTCTTTTTCTCCTATTTTTTTTTTGTTCAATTGAACTCCGTAGGTCAAACTAGGCCACGTAATAACACTGCTTTGGAGTACTCAGCCACAGGTGGTGTGCCCGGGGAATCTCCCCATCCAGGTCGCATGAGTTTCTTCTCAAAACTCTCCTCGCGGTTCAGTAAGCGGTAAGTGAAATTGCATTAGCTTTTAATTTAAGTGATAGAGGTAGAGAATGTCTTTAAAATAATAAAAAAAAAAAGAAAATAAAACTTCAAACTTAACATATACATATGTACTACATACGTTTATAAAATATGATTGATATATGTATTTGTTTTGTTGTGTCAAGTGTAGTAGTAGTACTTGTAAAATATTCTAAGTATACAACACTCCTCTACATTTATTTATAAATATTTATTAAATTAAAATTATTCATTAAAAGAAAAACAAAAAAATCTATTAAAATATATTAAACTAAACATGAACCTGTTAATAAATTAGTTGCTAAGCTTTTTCTCCTAATTTTAAAACATTTTCAACATGTAAAACAACATTTTTTTATTGCAATCATCATAAAGGAATTTAAAATAAATGAAATGTTTATGTTTTGTTCATTATTATTATTTTTTTAATTTGATTTGACTTTGTGTAACCATTAACAAACATTTGTTTATTTATTTATTTATTTACTTACTTAATTATTAATTTTGTGTTAACCATTTGATTTGTTTAATCCTTGCTTTCCCTAACCCCACCTGTTAATCCTTTATTTAACTTTAAATATGGCTCAATGGATTTTACTATAACAAGCACCCCATTTTTAATTTAGATTCCAAAAACTCAAACATTAAGCAAGATATGAATAAAAAACAAACAAACACTCTTCCTCCTCTAAAAGTGATGGATTGATTGCATAAAAAGAAAAGTAATAAAATAATATTAAACTCATAATAAAATAAAATAAAAAGAAATAGAAGATATTTGTATTTTGGATCGCATGTGCCACATTTTAACTATACAATACAAATAAATGATAAAAATAGAATGAATGAAAGTAATTGCATCACTGAGAAGACCAAAGGAAACGCAGTTCTAGTTAAGAACTATAATACTACTAATAACAATATATATAAAAAATTAATTTATATAAGATCGAATTAAATTGAATCGTATCGAATAAAAAAGGCAACAATTAGCAGAAAAACAAATCCCTACAAAACTGTATGAATAACAAAATATATGATGATATAAATGATTAAATTTCAAAAATAAAAATACAATTATTAATTATATATCTACTACTACTACTATTACTTCTACTACTACTGTTATTGTATATTAAATAGACATAACTATTTATATGTGAGCATAAAATGGATGCTCTCGAAATTGTCCACAGGATAAATGAAATAAAAAACATCATAATCATCATGATATCATCATCTGGAGAGCCTGTTAGTTTATAGAATATTATTGTAAACTTTTTTAATTTGTAAATCAAAACTAAACTATACACAAAACACAGTTGTACATACAAATACACAAACACATTTACACACATGCATATTTTGTTAAATATTTTGCCAAAATTAAAAATATTAATGAAATTGAAAAATTATTTAAAAACAAATTCAGTTTTAATTAAAAAAAAAAAAAAAAATTGTTTGCAAAACCTGTTAAATATATATTTGTTTGGATTTCTCTTCCATAGTTTTTATTAAAAACTTATATTTTGTGTAAAAATCTTGTCCAGATGTTTGTTTGACATAATTGATTTTGTAAAACAATCAATAGTAAACTTTTTCTCAAATATTTTCAAATCTAATTGTAAAAAATTTTTCTTGTTCCCCTTTTGGCCAAATAATTTTCAAAAATTATTATAATTTTAATTAGATTTCAGCAAAATTAATAAGTTTATAATTGTAAGTTTGTATTTAGTGTAATATTAATTTAAATTTATTCTTATTATTATTATGTATTAGTATTATTTAAAATATGTTTGTAAAGATATTGATTACCACCCCCTTTAAACGATTGTTGCTTCAAACACTTTTTCACTTTAACAACAATATGAAAAAAAAAAATAAAATGTTCTATTTTGAATAAACTACAAATGATAAACACTTTATTAATGTAATTTAAACAACAACAATAACTGTTTCCTATTAGTTTTTTTCCTCCTCTCAACATAATAACCATCATAATTCTAATGCAAAATAATGTATGTATTGAAAATTCCTATTTATTATAAAACCTAAATGTAAATTTTAAAGTTCATCATCTACTATTATTCATAACATATTTTAATAAACTGTAGTTGTAAAAATAAAATGGTCACATGCGTCAAAAAAACTGAAATTTCAATTAAACAAAAAAAGTAACAACAATATAACCAAGAGCTTAATATATATTTTCTGAAAACAAAACAAAACAAAAAAAACTCTAAATGAAAATCAACTGACTCTAGTTTTGTCTCTCACATTGGATAGTGTTAGTTGTTAGTGGTATAGTTTGGTTAGTTAATTGACAAAGGAATAAAGTGTAAGTTTTTTTTAGTAAAAATGCGTATTTTATAAATGTATCTCGTATATAGTATGTTTAACAAAATGATCATTTAATTGCTAAATAGACAATTAAGTGATCTGTTGGAGGAAACAAAAACAAAGAAACACTCAACATTTTATTTGAAAGGAATGAAGGATTTTAAGAACACAACAAATGCAGCAATAGGTCATTCAATTAAAAATACATACATTCAGCAACGACTATTTACAATAAAGTCTGTTAACTATAGTTAACACTTTTTTAAGTTAATGGGGCAAGAGATTGGTTTAACAAAACAAACATTTCTTTTAAAATAAATATCTTAACTTAATTTCAAAAATTGCTTTTTGAAAATGTTGTTTGTAAAAGTAGTTAGTGAGTATGATGTATGTAATTTAATTATAGCCATTTGCTGCAATTGTAACTAGAAAGAGCTAATCTTTGTGTAGGCGTACAAATGTTGTATTT